GGACAGGAGATGGCAGGGAAGCAGGAGATTTGGAACCAGAAGTTCGAGCCCTGTCCCCTACGTCTGAGAAGATGTTTGGACACCTCCAACACCGTGCCTGTCTCCGGGAAAATTCATCAATCACGCATGAAGAAATCGGTTGGCCTTGCCGCAGACTATCCAGCTTGTAACAGATTGCATGGAGCTTTCAGTACACAAATTGATTTATATAAGCCTAGGTTTGGTTTACAGGTAGATAACGAACACTAAATAAGGCAGCAATAATGTTAAAATTCCTGTGCTGTCAGTTACTTCAAATAATGAGACTTGTCCTGCCAAGCAGCGAGGCTTTGATGTGAAGACCAGAGTGCTGAGTTAGCACGTTGTAAAGGATGCTTAGCCCAGGGCAGGATGAGACCCAGCATGTGTGATTCATTACGTGGCCCAGCAACAGAATTCCCTTGTATTCTTCTGGAGATTCACTTTTTAGTGTTTCTTTCTCTTCTCTAGCAAATCTCTATTTATTTCCCCCTAGGGACCATTCTAAAAGCATCATCCCTTTACTTTGGGGTTTCAAATTAATCAGAATAAATAGCCGCCTGTGCCACTCAATTCTTAGTAGTCCTGATCCATTCTGCTTCAGGAAGATATGTCCAGCTTTACAGTCTCCCTTTGTTGCATGTCAGTCCATCTCTTTTCCACATTTTCCATTTGTGGTTTTGTTTTAGAAGCAAATGCTGCCTTTGCCCTGGGATTGTGCAGGCTGCCAGTTTGGACCACAACTTTCTCTGTCACCTTTTTTCCCTTTTTAGATGGCAAGAAGCATCAGACTGACAGGGCTGGAAACAAAACTTTCCTGATCCATGGGACAGCTACTGAAGTAATGGTTTAATTGCAAACTTCGTCATTCTTTGGGTATGGGTAAATGGCACAAAGCAGAGTTGTGTTAGAGATACCAGGATGAACCCTGAATTAAATGTGTGCCTGAAACTATAGTATGAAAAGATCACGTACAGGGTTTGGAAGACAGAATGCTCTCATTGTCCATTGGGTCCTCGAGTTCCCCCCTGGTGCTATCATCCAAGAAGTAAATTGTAGTAACCTTTGTCCAAGCAGACTAAGAATCGAGGCTCACTGAAGAACAGCAGTCAGATGGTAATCATTTTGCTTGCTGCTGGCTTTGGTTTTAAGTCTTACCAATGGGTTGAAAGTAAAAATGTCTTTACCAGTTTCCTGAAGCCTTCCAGTCTCCTGTACCTCAATTTATGTATCCATAACTTCCACCTATGCTGTACTCCAGTAGATAATCAAGGTTAAATGAGCACATTGTTTTGGTTCCCTTTGCCCAGGTGCTTCTCATGGTGTGACTTGTATAGGATTTGAACGTATATGAAATTGTGCAGATAAGATGCATCTATTGGTTACTGAAATATATTTTCCTAGCATTAGGTCAAAAATCAAATTAATCTTTGAGCAGCTAGGTTGACATGAGCAGAATTCCACTTTGGATAGATTTGGCTCAAGGTCCTTTTGTAATAAAAAAGATAGAGTTCCTGGCATCAGTGGCTAACATTTACAGAGTGAATATTCCCTTATTTGTTACCTTAGACTTGTGCTTCTATGATGAAGAAATGCACAGTGTCTTTTAATTAAATAGTAACTAGCTGCATAATGATCTTTCATTTTATGCTCTCAGGCTGGAATATATAGTCCTCATTATGAATTTGTAGCAGTTGGGTGCCTTCTAATAATTAAGAATGGATATTGCTTTAAATTAAGTGTTTAGCGATTTAGGCATAGGAAGAATAACTAGAAATATAAGCAAACAGATTCTTTTTTTTCTATTGTACATGATAGACTTGGTTTTCCTGAGCCAAATGCTGATGTGATTTGTTTTTTTTTCCCCAAATGCAAATTCCTAACTATACCTATAGTTTTAAGATTTTTTTTTCATATTCAGAGACAATAGACCAGACCTCAAGACTGCATCTTGGGTGAAAGAAATCACCAGAAATCATTGCATGTGAATCCCATGATGATGGCTATGCTGGAAATATGTGAAATAAATAGGTGCTAACAACCGAAGAACTTTTGATGTAAGATGTTATTTTTCTTAAATTTAGGACAGGATGTAAAGGGACAGTAGGTTCCTCTGGGATGATATTAAGTAAGTGGGGGGCATCCGCAATAGGTACCTGCAACATTTGCATTTTGCACTGTAAGGACAAGGGCCAGCATGTTGCCAAGTAAGAATGTTTTTCCTATCTGTTCTTATCTGACCAGCTCCATATGTGGAAACTACTGTGCTGGAGCAAGAATGTCTTGTTCTTATTTTATTTAATCTCCTCAGATTACACAAACCCTCAGACTACTAATGAATTCAGGTGTCCATTCCTGAACATCCTAAACAGGCCTGTACACTTCATTGCCTACGTACGCTAAATTGTGCAGGCAGCAGGACTCTTGCAGACAAGATGTAGGGACCAGAAGCCCAGATCATGGGACCCTCTTGGGAAATTAAGGCATGGAGGGGAAGGGGTGAGTCAAAAATCAGGGTGAGGAACCCATCTCAACCCCCTAAGATCACTGCTTCACCCCAGAGTTTCTCTGCCACAAGCCTGTGAAGTCACCGCCTCATCCTTGTGTCCAGGGACTATGTGCTGGTCATAGTAATTAGATAATGGGGAATCAGGCTCTTCTCATTGTCTGATTTTCATTAAAATCAATAGGAATCTGTCCATGTATGCAGAGGACATTCAAGGGAAATTCTGGATGTGACTGGATGCAGTTTTCAAAAGTTATCTTGCCGTAGACCAAACCATGCGCAAAGCTTCATTTCACTTGGGCAATGACATGTGCTCTTCTCCTGGTCTTTCTTTCCATTTTACAAAGAAAAGATACATAGTAGAGTAAAAGACATTTCTGCATTTCTGTGTGAATCATGGTTAGTGAATTTAATTAAATACGTTTATGAAACACGGCATAATTTCTTTAGAGGTTGAGGAAGCAAGGAATCCTTAGCCCAAGTCTTGTACTGCATTAGTATTTGACCCTGGTTCTAAAATTACTGCGTCCCAGATTTTTTGGGAGAGTCCTAAATTTTATGGCTGTGTTGCAGTGTCTGCAAGGATATCTTGAAATGACACTTTCATTTTGAGTCAGAAAAGAAACAGTTCTTGTTTGGCATCAGGTGGCATCTTGATTAGAGCTCATCATTTTAGACTGAAATGGTATGGCCCTTGCAACTGTTTTCCGTTGCTTTCAAGGCTCCCTGTATCCCTCATAAATTAAAATTACCAATGACATCTGCAAACACCCATACATGCTGAGACACACGAGGAGTACTGCCCACCTGCTTAAAATTTAGCACATAGGTCTATATTTTCTGCTCTCATTAGATTCATGCCCAGAGGAGCAAAACCCCTACATTCAAGAGAGAGGGAACTATAAGAAACATCCAACACCCGTAAGAAACATCCATGCATTTAGGTAACTGTAGTAGGATTAGCAAAGGAAAATGCATACCACAGGAATAAGGAAGTGACAGGGAGATGTATTGCCTGAGTAGAGTAATTTTCAGGAACCTGGAGCTAAGGAAAGCCAAAGCTTAGAAGTGTGTATGCGTGTGTGCAATACGGACTTTATATTGTTGGGCAGGTAAAGGGACAGGGGCAAGTTTCCAGGAAATAACCATGCTAGTCTGAGGTCAAGCAGAAGGCAGGGTAGATTTGCACCTCGTAGACTAACCAAAGTAGATATAGCACCTGAAATGACACTTTCATCCTAAATTGGGAAAAAACTGGCCTGGCTTGGCAACAGGGCCCACCTTAGACTGGAGTGGCATAGCCCTTGCAAATCACAAGCTTTTGTCACTTTTAGGTGACTCTTTTTATCCCCCATAAATTACTAGGTGTAGCAGGGTGTGTGTGTGTACAGGAGTGTGCATGTATTTTTTAGGGATGTGTTTGGTAGCTGTGGTGGTCTGAGAGAAAAAGAAATGCAAACCTCTAGAACTCTTGGTTCAGAAATGATACCTTTTATCATCTCTGAACCAAGAGTTCTGGAGTTCTGCGTTTCTTTTCATGTAATTTTTACACACACAAAGTATATGGTATTTTGGTTAGTCCGTGAATTTGTTTCTCTGTATATTTGGCCATAGATGGTTTTGTTCGTGAATGTATGTGTGTGTGTATGTATACATATGTGTGTGCATACATACATGTATGTGTGGGTGCATACATATATGCAAATAAACACATTACACATGTATACATACATATAGATACATACACATCTGATGACACACAGACACTAACAAAGTATCTATAACCAAATATGCACAGAGACAAATTTATAACGCTTTGGTTAGTTTGTATACTTTGCACGTTTAAAAAGACTAACCAAACGTGTGTGTGTGAGAGAGAGAGTGCGACTGGTGATTGCTTTCACCTGGGAAGTTACAAACACGTTGGTTAGTGTATAAGGCGTTACTGGATATTTCTTACACACACATCGGTTATTGTGTAAGGTGTTACTGGCTATTTCTTAAACACATGCGTTGGTCAGTGTGTAAGGTGTTACTGGTGATTTCTTACACACACACTAACCAGTGTGTAAGGTGTTACTGGCTATTTCTTACACACACACTGGTTAGTATATAAAGTGTTACTGGCTATTTCTTACAACACATCGGTCAGTGTGTAAGGTGTTACTCTTACGCACACACATTGGTTAGTGTGGAAGGTGTTACTGGCTATTTCTTACACGCACGCACACTGGTTAGTATATAAAGTGTTACTGGCTATTTCTTACACACACATCGGTTAGTGTGTAAGGTGTTACTCTTACTCACACACATTGGCTAGTGTGTAAGGTGTTACTGGCTATTTCTTACACACGCCTTGGTTAGCGTGTACGGCGCGACTGGTGCTTTCTTACACACCACAACTCCCCCCACCCCACGCATGCGCACCGCTCCCCGGCGCCGGACTCCAAGTCCCAGGCTGCCCCGCGGCGGGGCGGACGGGGGCGGCCAAGATGGCGGACGGGGTGCTGAGCCCCGGCGTGAACCTGGAGGCCTTCTCGCAGGCCATCGCGGCCATCCAGGCGCTGCGCTCCAGCGTCACGCGCGCCTTCGACTGCCTCAAGGACGGCATGCGCCACCGGGAGACGCTGGAGGGCCGCGAGAAGAGCTTCGTCTCCGCCTTCCAGGACAGCCTGCACTCCGTCAGCCGCGACCTGGGGTGAGCGGGGCGGGGCCCGGCCGGGCTGGGCCGGGGGGCTTCGTCTGCTCCAGCTCCTCCCCGTGGCAGGGGCAGGGGCAGGGCCCCCCCCCCCC